AAATTATGAACTAGTCTATTATAAAAAGTTTTCCTTGTTCCTGTTAATCTATTTTTTGAAGTATTTCGGGAATTGATCAATCAGATTTCACGAAAATTAACGTTATTTTAAAATCGGTAAATTACTTTAAAAAAGAAAAAAAAAAACAAGACTTGAGTCGGATCTTGTTTTACTTGCATTTTACTAAAATTACTTTAACGAGATTTAATATTAAACTGATTTAACGGGTTTAACTTAAACTTTAATTAATTTCTTAGTTTATCATAATTAAATTTCAAAATTTATTTAAAGAATATGGGGAGAAACGCTGGAAGTTGCTGTTTATGGCTTTAGAATTTTCTTTTCTATCATAAAATTTAGTATTTATTTTAATATTGTATATTCGTATAGTGATTATATACGTTGGATGAATATTTCGAAAATCTCGTGAGAAAGACTTAAAATTTCTTGGATATATTTTTTAATTCAGTAATACTCTCAAATTAAATTTCATTAAGAGACCAAAAAGTCCAAGATTCTCATATAAAATTTTGGGAAATAAAATGAAAAATTCAAATATTTAAAAATGAAATTAAATAATTTTCTATATACTTTAATGACAAAAACTCAATTATTCTATGCAAAAATAAAACTTTTATAACGTTTACCTAATTCTAATTAAATCATTTTTATCTAGAAGTGACTTTGATCGATATAATTACTTCCTATTTATTAATCTATCGTGCGTAATATCTTAACGTTTTTACAAGTGAATTTAGGTCTAATTTCAAAGTATATAAACCCATTTATATACATTTTCTACTTATATAACCTTATTTACACGGTTGAGAATATTCTACCATCGGATAATTACTGATTATATTAATAGAGTATTGTGTAGAGTGTTACATTTTAATGAAACAATAGTGACCTATCTCGATGTTATATTAAGGAGTAAGGAGGAAAAATATAATTCGTGGGAACTTGCCTATAGTTTAAAAACGACACCGAGCTCAGCGATCTTTATTTGAAAAGGAAACAGTGTAGTGATGTATATAGCCTGTTAAAGTGATTGTACTGGTGAAGTAAGTAGCTTACACTTTCTTTTACGGACTTTTGCACTTTTTAACTAGATAAATCTTATTTTATCTTCTTTAATTAATGATAAATTTCATTTTACTGGCTTATTTTATTTATAATTATTGTCAAGATTTAGAGGAAAATATAATAACTTTTCTAAAATACTGTATTTTAAAAAGGAATCTAGTTTTGTTAAAGATTTCTTAGTCTTTTCATTATATTTAACTCTATATTTTTTAGTTATTTGAAAAATTATCTAATTAAAACTGGTTCTATTTTCTTTCTAAGTTTAACCATTGATTTTATTATGGGATCTAAGTTTAGATTCTTAAATTTAAACTATTTAATGTTCTAGTTATATTTTTATAGCTTCCAAATAGAAAATTTCTAACAAGTTATAATAGGTTTATCTTTACTACTGCTTACACAAAGTAACACTTTATCTTTATACTTTTGACCTCTCGAGCGTTATAAAACTGGAAATTCAATGTTATAGAGTCGAACAAAAGTTTCAAACTAGTAATAATAAGTACAAAATAAAACGAAAACAAAAGAAAATATTGATCAGGAAGTTGACACAGATAGTAGTAGGTCAATGGAAAAAACAGAAGTACAACGTCACTTCCTGGTATAAAATATTTACTTCCGTATACGAAAAGATAGGTTTTTCGGGTCAAATCAAGAAAAGTAAAAGTAATATGTAACGCAGAAAACTTACGTGACGTATAAACAGCAAGAAATTAGTGAAAAACGTCTCGAGAAAATTTAATCTACATTAAATTGAGTTAGTTAATATGTAATTATTACATTAATAGTTATAAACAATTAAATTAATAAAAATGAAATTAAATAAACTCTTAAAATTAAATTTAGGTCTTTTAGTAAGCAATATAATAAGATTGAGAAGAAAAATACAAATATTTTTAATACAGTTTTAAAGCTTTATGACATTTTTTAAAATAATTAATTTTAATAATAATAATAATAATAATAAATTTGTTTAAAATCTAAATATAGAAAATCAAAATTTAGATACTACCTAATATTAAATATAATTACACGGAACTTTTTCTTTATATAGATTTCAAAAACTCATAAGAATAAATGGAAATATCTCTCGATATTAATTGCATCTCACGATGCATAACCGTCGATAGTTTGAGATGATTTTAAACAAAGAAAATAGGTGACGATTGCTCTTATATTAGAATAAGTTTTCCTTTTTTAAATACGATTAAATGTTATCAACTTCCCTTCAAAAGAAGTGAACTTAAACACCACTTCAGGATTTGTCACGGTCTGACACCTGGTGACTGCAGAAAAGAAACCGCCACCCATTGACCTGCATTAAAAATTGCTTTCTTATGAGGAAATAAAAAAATGGTTGTAATTATTATAAAGGTGATATATAAGGCAGGTGATCCAATAAATTCAAATATATTCGCTCAACGAACTTTACTCGAACGGTTCTCTCATTATGAAGTTCTCAGTAAGTACAGCATTAGTTTTAGTTTCGTAATTCCGAATTAATTGAATAATTCATAAATCTAAGCATTTTATATCTCTAGCTAGTCACAGTTATCGCTTCGGTAGTATTTAGCGCCGTTTTAGCGACTCACGGCACTCCCAGTTACGAAGTGGTGAGTCTTCATCCCAACTATCATGGTAAAGGTGGAGTCGGAAAGAGTACGAGATATGATTATCGTTTCATCCCCGATTATCGCTTCATTCGCCCCGTTGGACTATTGAGTCACGGTTTGGGTCACGCAACCTATGGGCATAAACCCGTGAATCCTGCCGTCTTACATCATGGACTCGGACACGGATTAGGTCATGGAATTGGAATCGGTCATCATGGACTCGGACATGGAATTGGTCATCACGGACTCGGACACGGGCTCGGACATGGTATCGGACATCACGGTCTCGGACATGGAATTGGTATAGGTCATCATGGTATCGGCCATCACGGTCTTGGACACGGAGGTCACGGAGGTCACGGAGGAATACCTTTCGTTGGTGGGCATGGCTTTGGTATTCCAGCTGGTGTTGGCCAGTTACCCTTTATTGGTTAATTAAGAAGAATATAACCAAGTAACTTAATACTCAGGTCTGTAATATTAATTCTTACAAAATTTTTAACAGGTAACAAATGATTTTTTACTATAATCATGGACAATAACACGTTATTAAGATTTACTTATCTATTACAGAACCAAGGTCATCATTTCACTGAAAAAACCCCTGCCAAAACTACGTTTTGTTGTTGTACATGTGCCCCAATTTGTTTTATGTATAGTTTTGTAAAATTTGTTATTTTTCAATAAATTATTTGTTTCCCACCTTAAAAAAACTGTTCGATATGTTTAATATTTAACAGACACAAAATCCAAAAAACTTGAAATTTAATTTATAAAATAATTATAAAAACAACGAATATATTGTTGAAAAATATCATTAAAATTCCGTACAAATTCATAAAACAGAATGAACCTGATTGGTGAATCACCTTCTGGAAATTTTCCAGTTCTCGTTTCCTTCAACGACAATTCGAGACACGCATCTGGATCAATTAAAATGGAAATTATAAATTCTACATTAATTATCATGAGTTCATTTTACAATGCATTCTTAATTATAATTAATGCACCATAAAATAATAATTAAATAAATTTAATTTTAATTTTATAATTAAATATTTGTTAAAATTTAAATTAAAAACATATATTTAAGAGGTGAAGTCGGAGATTAATTTTATTAATTATTAATTTCAAATATTTCTTATTTTTCACTTACACTTTATTACTATAAGTAGAAACTAATTTTGAAAATAATCTATACTTTTATTTGAAAAAAAGTAATATTAAATAATTTTGTAATGTAATTTTAACCAATTTAAGCCCAAAAAATAAAATATATTGGAAAATTTATCATTGTGCATTGAGAATCAAAGAAAATTTGATAATAGTTAGTTAAAATATATTACTTTTCAATAAATTTATTAAATTAATAATGGTATAAAATTGTTAATTATAAAACGATTAATGCATTACTCGGTAATTTTTAATTTTCAAAAATATTTAATATTCAGATCAATTAAGTTTAAATAATAATATTTTTCTAATAAGTCTTTAAAATATTAAAGGAATTTTTGTTATTTAAAGAATGGCACACCACATTTATTCTTCTAGCTTTATGGATTGAATTATAAAACGGTGCCAATTATAAGGATGCATAAATTTTACCTCAGAAAACCGAAATTCTTCTGCAAATAATAGGAAATTACGTGTTTAAAATTTATTCCACTATTCTAATTTCAAATGAAATACACAAAGAACGAATGCCCACGTTCATAGATAAATAGAAAGCCTTGAAATTTAAATCGAATGCCAATTATAAAATTGTTTATGCGTATCGATGAAAAATTTAGTCTGTTTGGTTTGTAAAATTTTCGTTGGTTATTGTTTAACAATGACAATAAATTATAAATATTCTATTTGTAATAAGCTGGTAAAACTATTATCAATGTGTGGAATCTAATTCGTACAGCCTGAGGGTAAAAGGTGTAAGTGGGTCAGCTAAACACTTCCTTCCTCGTTTGATCTCGCTCATGCTAAATAGCTAAGTTACATAAAAATAAAAATAATAAATAATTGTAAAATAACCTCGTTAAATTATTGATTTTTGATATCATTTTCGACTTCTGCCTCTTCATATATTTATTATTAAATTTTCCTCCTCTCTTGAATAACAGTACGTTTACTTCTTACAAACTTCTGTGATTATATTTACATAAATCGATATTACGTTGAATTTATAATTCATTATTTTATTCCCGAGAATAATCCTAGTAGTTTTCAAAATAAGACTTATAAAACTTCATATATCAATATCAATATCTAAATAGGTAAGAGTAATAAATGTTTTCTGTTTTGTTTTCTGTATAAAACAAAAAGTTATTAAGTTATTCAATAATAAATTCAACTTTATATTAAAAGGAATGTTCTTCGAAAAAATTAATAAACAGATTTATGATGTTTAAATGCTTTTTAAACAAAACTCTCAGACATAGACAAATTTATGTAATGTCTATGCAAAGGCCTATATGCACGTATTTACAGAAGGAGATGAATTACCTTCACTTATTTTCTTTTCTAAATGAGCTTGTTTTCTGAACGTGCTGTTATTATTATTTTCTTTCTTTTTAAGGTAATACAGTTCTTGTTGATCATTTCAGTTCTTTAAATTAACATTCTTAGTATTTATTTATTGTTTTACTTCAAATTCATCTCAAACTATCATCGTATAAAACTAAAAACGATAAACAGTGGTTATAATGAGGAGTCTGTGTATAGAGTTAACAGAGAACAATAACTCGCTAGTCGAAAGATCCTTATTTATTGTGGTAAAAAAGAAAGAATACAATATGCTATTGTACAGTACAGTATACACAAGTAATTTACAAAGTCTTTAAATAGGATATGTAACACAAAAAAGTGTTAATAACTTTACAAATGTAACAAGGTGATGCACAACTGGAAGTCGTTAGTATCTCCTCATACTGAACTTATTTCAAATCAAGCATATTGATTTGTCTTGCAGCCATAGATTCCACCAGTAACGAAAATACCAACTAATTAAACTCAGATATTTCTACAGTATATTAATTATTAGTTTCGGCTGAAATAAATATTTTATCTTTGTAAAAGTTAAATTCAATTTTAAAAGACAAAGATTTAAGAATGTACTGTACTTAAAGAGAAATGGCATCTAAATTATTTCATATTTTTTCAATTTTTAGAATAATTTACATTTAGGCTATACAGTCGACCCTCTATAACACTGTTGATAATTCCATTTTATAAGAATTCCATGTTGTACGAGTCACTTAGATTTTACAAATACGTGTGCCGGGCTGTGAACGGCACACGTATTTGTGCCGTTCACACACGTATTTGTGCCGGGCTGTGAACGGCTCGCGTATTTGTAAAATCTGTGACTCGTACAACATGGAATTCTTATAAAATGGAATTAACAACAGTGTTATAGGGGGGTCGACTGCCTTACATCTTACTAAGCATAATTGTGTAGTTAATAATATAAATAAAAATCTCAAAAATATAATGTCATTATAAAATTAAAAAGTATAACTAGAGCAGCAGTTTTGCATTGAGGCACCTATTCTCTCTTATGCAATTTGTCCGCCATGTTACAGGAGGTTTTTGGTCATATTGCGCTTAAAATGCCGATGAGTTATTTGACTTTCGCCTGCAATAATAATTTAAAGGTTGCGACTACGCATTTCACAGGTAAAAGAACGTTATATATTTCATTTAATTTTTTAAGGAAAACAAAGCATATTTATAGTTTTAATGGGAATAAAATGATATCGGCTTTAGCCTAGTAAAAATGNAATAGGTAAGAGTAATAAATGTTTTCTGTTTTGTTTTCTGTATAAAACAAAAAGTTATTAAGTTATTCAATAATAAATTCAACTTTATATTAAAAGGAATGTTCTTCGAAAAAATTAATAAACAGATTTATGATGTTTAAATGCTTTTTAAACAAAACTCTCAGACATAGACAAATTTATGTAATGTCTATGCAAAGGCCTATATGCACGTATTTACAGAAGGAGATGAATTACCTTCACTTATTTTCTTTTCTAAATGAGCTTGTTTTCTGAACGTGCTGTTATTATTATTTTCTTTCTTTTTAAGGCAATACAGTTCTTGTTGATCATTTCGGTTATTTAAATTAACATTCTTAGTATTTATTTATTGTTTTACTTCAAATTCATCTCAAACTATCATCGTATAAAACTAAAAACGATAAACAGTGGTTATAATGAGGAGTCTGTGTATAGAGTTAACAGAGAACAATAACTCGCTAGTCGAAAGATCCTTATTTATTGTGGTAAAAAAGAAAGAATACAATATGCTATTGTACAGTACAGTATACACAAGTAATTTACAAAGTCTTTAAATAGAATATGTAACACAAAAAAGTGTTAATAACTTTACAAATGTAACAAGGTGATGCACAACTGGAAGTCGTTAGTATCTCCTCATACTGAACTTATTTCAAATCAAGCATATTGATTTGTCTTGCAGCCATAGATTCCACCAGTAACGAAAATACCAACTAATTAAACTCAGATATTTCTACAGTATATTAATTATTAGTTTCGGTTGAAATAAATATTTTATCTTTGTAAAAGTTAAATTCAATTTTAAAAGACAAAGATTTAAGAATGTACTGTACTTAAAGAGAAATGGCATCTAAATTATTTCATATTTTTTCAATTTTCATCCCAACTATCATGGTAAGGGTGGAGTCGGAAAGAGTACGAGATATGATTATCGTTTCATCCCCGATTATCGCTTCATTCGCCCCGTTGGACTATTGAGTCACGGTTTGGGTCACGCAACCTATGGGCATAAACCCGTGAATCCTGCCGTCTTACATCATGGACTCGGACACGGATTAGGTCATGGAATTGGAATCGGTCATCATGGACTCGGACATGGAATTGGTCATCACGGACTCGGACACGGGCTCGGACATGGTATCGGACATCACGGTCTCGGACATGGAATTGGTATAGGTCATCATGGTATCGGCCATCACGGTCTTGGACACGGAGGTCACGGAGGTCACGGAGGAATACCTTTCGTTGGTGGGCATGGCTTTGGTATTCCAGCTGGTGTTGGCCAGNTCCCTTGGTCTTCCTCTTGGTGTGCCACTGATAAGATATTAAGTAATATAATTTATGTAAAGTTTTATGTGATATCAATCATATTAGATTATTCGATGTGCAAGATACCGTGTATTCAAACTTTAAAACTTTATCTAATATTCAAATCAGCATACTTTTTCCTCTTATTATAACATAAATGAGAATCCTGGCAGATTCAGCATCATCCAGAAAACGCAGAGATTACTTGCTTATCGAGTCATAAGCACGTGTTAGGTCAATGCTTAATACTATTGGAAATGTGGAATAATATTCGTCCTTAAATAAAAGATCCCGAAAATTGTTAATCTATTAAATTAAAATAAAAATTCTTCTAAATGAGTTAGCATTACAATATTATTATTAATTAATTAAAAAAATATGATTAAAATATTGATTATGATTAATGGAATAACAACTTACTCAACTTTAGATATTATTTTCCATTGTTTTTTTTCTTGTATTTTTTCTATTGGGCATCTTCACGGTGCACGTGAATTCATAATACAGAACAAATATATGTATAAAACATTGATTTATTGATTGAATTTAAATGTCAAATTTTATCCTTGTCATAAATTTTNTGATAAATAATAAAAATATATTTTTTAGATGCTTTAATAAAATGCAATATCAGTTACCAGTGGAGGATACAAGAAAAGGCTACATGTCCCTATCGACAGATACAAAAAAATTTAAATTTATTTGTTCGAACTTCAAAATGTTGCTTTTAAAAACGTTTAAGATGTAAATTAGGGTTTATAGGATCATCCGCAATACAATCGTCGTGCACGTGTTAATAAAAAGTCCTTATTAATTATTTAAAGGGCCCATCAGCGGCCGAGTGAATAAAACTTCTAAACACTGATTCGTGCCAGCCTGTTGGCCAGGCACGAACCCACGACCAAGGCACGTGTAGTTTTCTGGGCTTTCTTCACGTTTGTAACACCTAAGTAGAAGCCAGTTTTCCACAGAAGTCCTCCAGGGAGGCATCCCACCTCAACAGTTCGCCCACGTGTCGCGTTGCTGTAACCAAATAAATCAATCATTCAAATATTTTTAATTTTTGAGTTAGATCACCTTTGGGTATTTTGGCTACTGTCAGTTGTTCTATTGATTATCTATATTCTATAATCTATATAGGCCTATCTATACCATATATAAGGATGCGACTATGCAGACTCGAGCGAGCGAGAATATGTGGCGAGAAGAGGCGAGACGCGATAAATATCAAAGCCTGTCAGATATGTGCGAGAACCAGAAATTCGCTCTCGCTAGCGTTATTTCTCGCTTCTCGTTTGTGCATGGTTTTCCTTTGCGAAAACTAAATCGCTCGCAACCTCTCGCTCACTCTAAATTCGCATCTACATAGTTGCACCCTAAATGTTTTTAAGCTAATGTCATATTTTTATTACACTCATTATTACAAGTTATTTTTAATGGGCAAATGCAGCAAAGCATTATACTGTACCAGTAGACATCAACTTATTATACACGCAGTATGGTGCCTAAATCATATCATTTACATTGTATGAGGTAGCTAGCGATTTAGCAATATATAATAAATCAACGCAAATCGACATCTATACAAACTTAAAAAATAATTTATGTTTTGTTTTAAATTAATAAAATATTTATATGCACGATATGTCAAATATCTAAAAATCTATTTTTTATACAAAAATTCTTTATAGAGGAAATATATTACAATAAATAATATATTTATTTATATTTACAGGAACTATATTTATCTTATACTGGAACTATAATTAAACATATTTTAAACTAGTTATTCCTTTAATAGATTACAAAAACGTAATATAAAATTTCAACAGACTAAAAATATTACTGTTTAACATTCCAATGAGGTGAATTTATAAATTAACACTAACCAGGAAGACAAAAATATAGGCTAATTAAATAATTTAATAACTGTATAATAAGAATTAAATTCATTAATGAGAAAAGAAGCAAGTTGAAGACATTAAGTTATATTAGAAACAATGATAAATAAAATACGAATCATATAAATTTAAATGTATATTTATTAGAATAGCGTAACATTCTTTGTACGATGAGGTTAGACTGAATTGCCTCTGATATTACTCAAAGTTACTCAAGGTTAAATATTATAACCGACTATATTTGTTATAAAATATTTTTATAATAAATATATCTTTGATAAAAGACATACAGTACATAAATTCACTAATTAATTTAACGATATTGGAAGATAAATATTTGCCAGTTTGCTTTTAGTGTATACAGTATTATTGAATAATTCACTCATTTATACCAGTTTATGTGATCTAAATAAGTTTATTTTTCAATATTAATATTTATTACTTTGATAGACATCACAGTTTTAATTACAAATTAAATCATTCGTTATTTTATTGTTCTCATTAGTTATTCTCACCATAAATCGTGATACAAGAAGCATATGAAGAGCTGTTATGCAAAAGAAGTTAAATCCACTATTGACATATTTTAAACCAACAAACGGATCATAATCTTCTCTTAGAAAAGTTTGTTCTAAATCATTTTTTCTTATTGCGGACCGGCGGAGGAGAAACACTGCTCTAAATTCTTTGATGTAGTAAAATAAGCCACATTTTTATGCGAAACAACGTTGTAAGATGTACCGTTTCGAGCAAAATAATTTTGTATTTTCAATGGCTTTTACTGCAAAAAAAAGAAAAAAAAAAAAAAAAAAGNTTGCACCCTAAATGTTTTTAAGCTAATGTCATATTTTTATTACACTCATTATTACAAGTTATTTTTAATGGGCAAATGCAGCAAAGCATTATACTGTACCAGTAGACATCAACTTATTATACACGCAGTATGGTGCCTAAATCATATCATTTACATTGTATGAGGTAGCTAGCGATTTAGCAATATATAATAAATCAACGCAAATCGACATCTATACAAACTTAAAAAATAATTTATGTTTTGTTTTAAATTAATAAAATATTTATATGCACGATATGTCAAATATCTAAAAATCTATTTTTTATACAAAAATTCTTTATAGAGGAAATATATTACAATAAATAATATATTTATTTATATTTACAGGAACTATATTTATCTTACACTGGAACTATAATTAAACATACTTTAAACTAGTTATTCCTTTAATAGATTACAAAAACGTAATATAAAATTTCAACAGACTAAAAATATTACTGTTTAACATTCCAATGAGGTGAATTTATAAGTTAACACTAACCAGGAAGACAAAAATATAGGCTAATTAAATAATTTAATAACTCTATAATAAGAATTAAATTCATTAATGAGAAAGGAAGCAAGTTGAAGACATTAAGTTATATCAGAAACAATGATAAATAAAATACGAATCAAATAAATTTAAATGTATATTTATTAGAATAGCGTAACATTCTTTGTACGATGAGGTTAGACTGAATTGCCTCTGGTATTACTCAAAGTTACGCAAGGTTAAATATTATAACCGACTATATTTGTTATAAAATATTTTTATAATAAATATACCTTTGATAAAAGACATACAGTACATAAATTCATTAACGATATTGGAAGATAAATTTGCCAGTTTGCTTTTAGTGTATAAGTTATTATTGAATAATTTACTCATTTATACCAGTTTATGTGATCTAAATAAGTTTATTTTTCAATATTAATATTTATTACTTTGATAGACATCACAGGTTTTAATTACAAATTAAATCATTCGTTATTTTATTGTTCTCATTAGTTATTCTCACCATAAATCGTGATACAAGAAGCATATGAAGAGCTGTTATGCAAAAGAAATTAAATCCACTTTTGACATATTTTAAACCAACAAACGGATCATAATCTTCTCTTAGAAAAGTTCGTTCTAAATCATTTTTTCTTATTGCAGACCGGCGGATGAGAAACACTGCTCTAAATTCTTTGTTGTAGTAAAATAAGCCACATTTTTATGCGAAACAATGTTGTAAGATGTACCGTTTCGAGCAAAATAACTTTGTATTTTCAATGGCTTTTACTGCAAAAAAAAAAAAAAAAAAAAAAAAAGGTAAACCCTGTCAGCCGATGAGTGCACGTTTTCTCCTCTGTTGGCGTACTGCGCTGTTGCTTCAGCATAACGTCTAACGAAATGGCGGCTTTCGTGCCTTGTACTGTACAGTACCACACAAAGAATGCGACTGTGCAGACATTGAGATCAAAATGATTACCATGTAAAGAAAAAAAAAAGAAAAAAAAAGAAAACTAATTTCCTTTCCTTTCCTATGATATGGTTTTCATTACAGTTCAATAAAAATCGTGTCTAAAATAAAAATTTGTATTGTTCATTGATTATGGTTTTTACAGGTTTTTTTAAGTAGTTAAATTAAGCTTATTCGAATAAGTTACAATAATGCTTTTACCTCTCGTAGATTGAATTACAAGCTGAATTCCTAATATTTACTTACGTACGGCGTTTATAATTTAGTACAAAATATATTTTATCCAGGTTTTAATTCAAAAGAAGTAACAAGTTATATTAAAAAAGAAATTAGTAATTGCACCGAAGTTATGGGAGTCTGAAGTACAACACTTGAGTATTAACAACTTTTTACAAAACGTTTTGTGTGGTAATAGAGAAAAATTAAAACTTTTGGTATTTCTCTTCAAGCTGTTTATTGTTTTCCCTAAATTTTAATAAAGTGGATTTAACTTACTTTTCATGAGAGCTTTTCAAACAATATTTAAATTTATAACATATTTTTAAAAACATCAGATTAAAGAATTACAATAAGATATTTTGCTGTGATAATAAAATTTCCGTTAACGGAATGCCTGGAAACATTTTTTGGAGTATAAAATCCATTCTCTGAATCTTATTTATCACAGGATAATGTCACAAATGTCATTAATATAGGAAAAATTTTAATATCAATAGATTATTTTTCTAATTTATTATGTTTTATGACAGGCAGATTTATCGACGTTTACATCTTTTGTATTCATTTCAAAGTATTTTATGGAGCAGGATATGAAAATGATGAATAGAAAATTGTTTATGATTAGATTTAACATTGCCATATAAATTGTCTCTGATGTATGTACAATACGTATGTAGGTCAATTTTCCCTGCAGCTTTAATTATTGAAAATGTAAAAAATGTTGTTTAAAAGTATGCAATGAAAACTATTTTCTATAAAATATAAAGTAAGTATACTATTTAAAACTATTTAAAAATTTAAAAACTCAATAAATTTTTATTTTTTTAAACTTTAAATAAAAACGAAACACAAATTTATATATGATGAAACAAATAAAAATCGTCAGCATAAATGAAAATTTTATATTTATTTACATTGCTGTAATCTATCAAAATATGTTTTAACGATTCGCAATATGCAACGCAATTACTCTCTAAAAACATCTTTTAAAGGAAATTATATTACGTTTATTGCATATAAAACATAATTTTTCGCATTAATCATATTTAAAATTAATCTTCTTTAACTTTTAACATTAATCTTCTTTAAGATTTTAATATTCTTTCGAACCGATCATCGTTATAGTAAATTCGTGTCGGAACGTGGTACTTTACTCGTTTTTTCTGCTCTTTGTACCAGTTTACTTTATGTACCAAGGTCGGTTTATTTCATTAATTCGATTTTTTCGATTTTTGTTAAAAATCATCACGTTACTTAAAATGATTAATCTTATTTATTGTGTGTGTTGTCTCTTAACAAGCCAATTAGTTTTGTCAATGCATAAATTGCAAGGTCTGTCAAATCCTATATAAACCAAACATCCTCTTCGAATGACAGTAGTTTGCAAATCTTACAAAACCATAAAGATGAAAACTGTTGTAAGTTCTTTATTTTGTTCTTAGAAGTATTTTACATTGCAGAATTCATATTTTGTATAACTATTTGATTGTAGACTGCGCTTATCTTGCTTGCTTTTGTTGCTATCACTGCATCTGCTTATATTGGAGATTATTATTCCGGATATTACGGATATCCAGGATATTATGGTCGTGGTCTCTATGGAGGTTATGGACATTCAGGATATTACGGACGTGGATTGTATGGAGGTTATGGATATGGGCGTGGATTGTATGGAGGTCACTGGGGAGGATATCCATACCACAGAGGTTATGGTGGTTATTATTGGTAAAGGCTCTGATAAAAATACCGTAAGTATATCAAAATTTATTTAAAATTATCGTAAATTATCCATAAAAATTATTAAGTTTGATCTTTTACCATTTCAGATCCTGCTCTGACATTGTTTCTACGAATTTCTTTAAAATTTTCCTGTAAAATGTTTCTTAAATTGATAAATAAAAATCTTTGTTCTATCTTTTAATATTTTTAGTTTTTTTTTGTTTTATAAAATTCCTCATGAGTTTATTTTATACTTCAGACAAAAAGTCAAAAATATATTCTAGAGTAGAAAACTTTACCATATTTTTTAACGAAAGATTAGATGAAACTTTAAATTCCCCTTTAAAAAAATAATTTATCAGACTACTATCTAACATACAACTACTTCATTATTTAAGTTTTATAGTTTGATGACGTCAAACAGGTAACGCGTTGACGAAAGAACATTTTGAAATACGTCACAACCTGTTTCAAGATAAACAGATGAGGGTCAAGGTTTCGCGCCTTATAAAGCTAAACCGTTAAAGTTAAACGTTAACTTAAATTTCGTGCGTTTTCCAAAAAAATTTATATGTACTGTACATACTGTATATATTTGATTTTGTATAATAAATTGAAGACCGATTTAGTGCATGTGCATGAAGCGCGAACCTCGTGCTCCATATTTAAGGCTCAACGTATAGAGTTCCCAATAAAGTTAATTTTGGCAAAAAGAACACGAATTTTATTACGAAAAAATTGCAATGATACATGATTGTGCAAATGTACTTGGGGCCCAGACTTCAGAAGAAATTGAAGTCCCTCTTACTTACTTGAAATAAAATATTAAACCGCACTACAATGAGTAAGCCAAATCAGGACACGAGCCACACCAAATATTTCCTTTCGTAATATTGTGTGCAGATTTCCATATTTCTATGGCAACCAATAACAAAATTATATCATTTCTAATTAAAATATCAAACGTTTTGTGCTCTATCGATCGGTGATTCCTAGATTAGGGGCTCCTGTTTTTCACATCTCCATGGACTGTATCGATGGAACAAGACAATGCAACATACGGCGATCTGTCAAAGACGTGCGCTTCTCGGGAAAACTTTTTATAGGAAACTAGCCCCTATTTAGTTGTTAGACACTTGAAGAAAATCCGAAAAACTGAACGTGGCCAGCCCATTGTTAGGCGCGAACTCGCGACTGTTCAATGGTTTTATCCACTCGAGTAATGGTTGGTCTAGCGCATCCTCACTTACCCTGACAGTATTTTTATCATATGTAAAGATGATGTGACATTTTATAAGTATTATTGTATTAAAAAAATTAAAGAAGTAATTTTTACAACAATACACGCAATTATTACAAATAAAAAAATATATAAACAAAAACAATCTAATAAAAAAAAACCCAGCAACGAGTTGCTTAACTTTACCGGCAACATTTAAAACGGCGTGTATGGCGCCATCTGTTATGATATATTATTTTAAAAACCCTCTTTATATTTTTAATTATTATAAAATGGCAAAATGCTTAACTTTGAAGATAAGGATGGGTTTTATAAAGAATTGTAAATGCTAATAAGTAGCAAAATCGTCATTAAGTCCGACCCTACTCGAGATATGACACATGACTCCTTTTTATCTCACCACCCCGTCGACCTTTGATCACCAAAATTTAATGGTATCAATCTCCTAATACACAAACCACAAACCACCATGCAAAATTTCAGAAATTTTCGACAAAAAACACAAGAGTTGTTAAGCTTCAAAGAAAGTGAATTAAAAAAACGTTCTCCATACACACACACTAACATCCATACATATAGAAAACCCCGATTTTTGCATTTCTCGATGTTTCAAGGTTCCCAAGTCCAAAAATGTAAAAATCTTGGGTGGTCTTTGACCGATCGCCATACTTTCCTTCTGTTATATATAATAGCAGGGAAAAGAAATTGATACTACTGTCTTTCCCCCTTTTCTTTTCGGCTTTGGTATCTTTATAGCAGTCTGCGAGAGAAGAGCTTAGCGCCTCAGGCCCGAAAGTGGAAGGACAGTTCTGAATAAATGCGTTCAACAAACTCATAGTCAAACAAAAATTTAAAAAAAACCTAGAAAAACAAAGGTAATTTAATATTTCCTATTGGAAGCTTGATTCGTTGCACTCTTGGCCAAATTTCATTTTCTAGACTGGCTAAAACAAGTTTATGGAAGAGAAAAGAGTAATTAACATGTTTTAATTAACATAAAAGATTTGATAATAAACTAATTTAATATTATAATTTGGCCAAAATCCAGATTGTAAATTGATTCATAGGAAATTCCCATGAAGAGATCAAGATGATTAATAACTATAATCTTGTTTTAAAATGAATAATCAAGGATACAATTGGAATGCCATTAAATTTTTTTTAACATTTTCCCCATTTTTTTCTGACAATATAATGATGGTTACAACGGATTTTTTAAGGTGTATAAATACATTTTATCTAATAAAACAAAAACAGAATAAAGTAAAAAAACCGAGTTTGTTATACACTTGTTACTAATCTTATTAGGGAATGTACAATACTTTAAATACATTTTTAAGTGATTTTTTTTTATTGTCTCTATACGGATTTGTACTTTGGCGTCAACAGATTGCAACATCGGCTCAAATATCTTTCAAAATGCCCCCAGCTATCGATATTTTGACGTAAGAAATGGCTGGTTTTTCGTGTTTCCGTTTTTTCCGAAGGAGTTATCTGCATTCATCAACAACCTTCAATTTTTCATACTATAAAATGATTTATTAATTAAACTTAAAAAGCACCTTAAATAATAGAAATAAAAATACATTTTTCTTTTTAAAATTTAAATCTATCGCATGGACTTTAAGAAATTTTCAAAATATCATTTTCACTTTAATAATTAAAAATAAAAATTATCGTAAATTATCCATAAAAATTATTAAGTTTGATCTTTTACCATTTCAGATCCTGCTCTGACATTGTTTCTACGAATTTCTTTAAAATTTTCCTGTAAAATGTTTCTTAAATTGATAAATAAAAATCTTTGTTCTATCTTTTAATATTTTTAGTTTTTTTTTGTTTTATAAAATTCCTCATGAGTTTATTTTATACTTCAGACAAAAAGTCAAAAATATATTCTAGAGTAGAAAACTTTACCATATTTTTTAACGAAAGATTAGATGAAACTTTAAATTCCCCTTTAAAAAAATAATTTATCAGACTACTATCTAACATACAACTACTTCATTATTTAAGTTTTATAGTTTGATGACGTCAAACAGGTAACGCGTTGACGAAAGAACATTTTGAAATACGTCACAACCTGTTTCAAGATAAACAGATGAGGGTCAAGGTTTCGCGCCTTATAAAGCTAAACCGTTAAAGTTAAACGTTAACTTAAATTTCGTGCGTTTTCCAAAAAAATTTATATGTACTGTACATACTGTATATATTTGATTTTGTATAATAAATTGAAGACCGATTTAGTGCATGTGCATGAAGCGCGAACCTCGTGCTCCATATTTAAGGCTCAACGTATAGAGTTCCCAATAAAGTTAATTTTGGCAAAAAGAACACGAATTTTATTACGAAAAAATTGCAATGATACATGATTGTGCAAATGTACTTGGGGCCCAGACTTCAGAAGAAATTGAAGTCCCTCTTACTTACTTGAAATAAAATATTAAACCGCACTACAATGAGTAAGCCAAATCAGGACACGAGCCACACCAAATATTTCCTTTCGTAATATTGTGTGCAGATTTCCATATTTCTATGGCAACCAATAACAAAATTATATCATTTCTAATTAAAATATCAAACGTTTTGTGCTCTATCGATCGGTGATTCCTAGATTAGGGGCTCCTGTTTTTCACATCTCCATGGACTGTATCGATGGAACANAGAGATAAATGACTTTACGAAACAAAAGATTTGAAGCTATTAATCTCATGTTTGAAGCATATCATGCCTAAAAAAAGTATCAATATAAGAATAGGAAATTTTTCTTCTTATGAAATTAGGTTAAATATCCCACGCCCATTAAAAATATAACGAAGAAAAGACAATGGAAGATGTATCGACTTTCTTCCTCTGCGTTCGATTAACTCATATCTCGTGACAATCCGGGTTAACACGTGGTATTTTTTCACCATCGGCTACCTTGGACCAGTCTGTTTTCTGTACCAAGGTCGCCAAGCCTTCGTTAGATCGATTCTATAAGATCATCGCCCCGCCCTTATAACGGATTCCCCGCATCGTCCGATCTCCTTACATGATCTTAGCCTTTCACAAGAGGTTACCAAGGTCGTTTCGGTCCTATAAAAGGGCTAGGATTTGCTTCGATCTTCAGTAGCTTGTGAACTTCACTAAGCAATCGAATCAAAATGAAAACTGTGGTAAGTATGCAATTCATATTTTACTTATACGAATTTCTCTAATAGACTGCAAACTACTTTTGTAGTTCTTAAAATTAATTTTTTTAGTACGTCGATGAAAAATTTTAACGTTTTGCAGCTTGCTATCTTCCTCTTCGCCCTTATTGCCGTAGCCATGGCTGGCTTATACTCTGGATATTATCCAGGATACTATGGTGGATACCGTGGTCTTTATGGAGGCTATTACGGCGGTCTTGGCCACTACGGTGCTTATGGCTATCCTTACAGCTATGGTCACTATGGCAGATATCTCTGGTAAATTAATAGTAACTCTGAAAGGTAAGTTTGAAATATTTAATGTTTGAATTGCATATGTTAAATGTATTTTTCAAAACTCATACAATTTTCTTTTTTAAATTGCAGATCCTGCAGTGAATTTCGAGTTTCCCTTCTTCAACTTCTGAAAATTTCTACTCTCCATGATTTCCTTCGCTATAATATTTCTAGTTTTCTGTAATTCTTCTTAAAAAACTGTAAATAAAAAGTTTTACACTTTAAAAATATATGTTTTCTCAGCTTTTATTTTATATTTTAAGAAATTGAACCGTGGCGAATAAATCTTTTTAAACGAGATTTTATAATAATATTAAACATATAACATGTACACTTTTTAAAATTATACTTTAAAATAATCGAAAATGACTGAAATATCAAAATTTATTTTTTACTGAACTAAAATTAAACTTAATAAATTATAGCCAGAGTAACACAATAATTTAAAATACCAAAAATATTAATTAATTTCTTAAAGAATCAAATAAATGAATTTCCAATATAATCTAAGGTTATTAATAACTTTATTTATATATTTATTTATCATGAATATAGTGACAGGATCAGTTTCATATTCAAATGTTAAATTAAATTCTTGCGGATACATAGAAATACACCGATGTACCGTACATCAGTGCATACATTTAAGTAATTATCTATGAATCATAAAATAAATAAATGAATTTATATATTTCGGTTCACACAATTCTTATAGATATATACTAAAAAAATTTAGAAAATTTTCCAGTTTTAAATTAAATTTTACTTTAATTAACAGTTTTAATTTAGCGAAAAGAATATGAAAAATTTATTAATTTAATGTAAAATATAAAAATAAAAACGACAAAAATTATATTTTAAATATATTAGCTTTATGAATGTTTTTATAGCCACTTTTTTTAACTTATAATAGTTTATAAAAACTTAGTTTAAACGTATATATTATTTAAATACATACAATATGAGGAAACATAATTTTGTTTCTTCGTGCTTCTCCCGGAAGACGCTAATGAATCTACATTCCAAGGTTGAAATCTGAAAAGGATCTTATCATGGAAGATATTCTATAACAATAACTATTCTTGTCAATCATCTCTATTATTATGTGAAAGAAAGATGTTTAAATCAATGTTTCAGTATACGAAAAAGCCAACAATCAGACAGACATAAACTAGATGACAATTCAGTTTTGTTGAGTGCATAATACAGTATATCAAATATATTAAACTAAAAATCTTTCAAGAAAACAATGAAAATAAAATGAAATATTATATGGCTATTAGAAATTCATTAATCTGGAAAAAATAAGGCATTAATTATATCACGGAATAAAAATGAAGTAGAAAGGAATAAATAGTAAAATTATTCAAATCATAAACAAGTAAGAAATTAAAAACTTTTGTAATCAAATGGAAAAATTAATTTTAAAAAATACATTCACTTTTACGTTTTTATAAATAAGATTTTTAAAAAATATTAAGCAATATTAAGTAATGAAAAAATGATAAAATATGAAAATTCGGATTTGAAGAAGTATATGATACTGAAGAAATCTTATTAGAGTTTTTCAAGGAAAACATTTTTATATTTTTAATAAAAGTTTAAAAATTGTTGCAAGCAATGGATTTAAAAACTATCGAAAAAACAGAATTATTCAAATTTTTCTTCAATTTGTTTAATTGATTAATAAACACTTCTAAGACCATGTTGGCTAACCTCATTGCCACTTTCCGCACATATAGGAACGATTGTAAACAATTGGCAAATTGACACTTTTAATTTATATTTTTATTACGTTCATGTATTAAATTATGTCAAACGAAAAAATAAAATTTATTTTTCATTTCCCTTCATAATTTTAAATAATTTATGTGTAAAAAATATAAACGTTTCTTAATTAATCACGTCGAAATGTGTATAAAAGCTATAATCATAAAATTTTAATTATTTTGATCACTTGTTTCTTAAATAAATGTTAAAAGGACAAATAGCCTATTAATAAACATTATTGTTTTAAAATTATTTGTTAAATCTTTACGATACTTTATAATTTTCTTGAACAAAAAATGGGGTCAAAAAATACATTTCATGTGGCAAGAATGTTTTAGGTTCATTCTACTTACGACAATAAAATGTTTTAGTAAATAAATATATAAGTTAATAAATTTATTTTCTAAATATCGGTATATTAAAATATACCAATATATAGGGCCTACTACAAAAATTAATTTGTGTAATATTTTTAAGCAGCGCAAGTTTATGTATTAATTATTGCATTAATAGGTCCATTGAAATTTAGACAAAGTAATTATTAGTAAAGACACGGGAAAATTCATTCTAAAAGTAAATCTAACGGAAATTTTTTCTTTAGAAAAAAACGTTAATTAAGTTCTAAAATACTGCATTAACTTTATTCCTGGAATAAGTAATCTTTCTAATTTTGTATGAGAAATTTCCACATACACGAATATCCCCCGTTGTTAANCTTTATTCTAAAGAACATTTCTTTTTCGATCTACATAATTTTCTTCTATTTACTTTTAAAAAATTATTTTAAATTAAATTTAATTAATTTTTTTATTTTTCTACAAATTACAATAATTTTTTCAGATAAAAATCAAAAATAATTTTTAGATAAAATAAAAGAATATCATTAATTAAGAAAATTAAAATTAAAGTAGGTGAAAGTGGGTGAGAGCGAGGTCATAGTAAGTTGGGTGGAGTGAAAAATTATAAATTTATTTCATCTTTAAACGAAAGGACTGGAAGTTCAAGAAACTCGAGGTTGATCTTATAAGCACCGTAACAAACAATTGTCAACGAATGAATAACTACTCGATCTAATTTAATTATTAAAATAACTTTACAAGGATATTGAGGTTTTTTGAATTAAAAAATAAACTAATTAATCAAATATTTAAAATATAAAATCGTTATTTTACTACACTTAACTACATTAAAATGCAAATAAAAGATGTTTCATTAATTTAATTATACAAATATAAATATTTTTTGAATTTTAAAATAAATTACTGGAAATTTTATGGTTATATTCCCTTTAATAAGATTAAAATATAAAAGGAATTTTTAAAATATAATTTCCATATTAATGTATTAAGATAAAATACAAAATAATTCATAAAATTCAAGTGATGGATAAAATATAAATAACACAAAAAATAGCTTTTTGTTAGTTTGATGTAAGAATTTAATTTTTATTAATTTTTTAATTTAGTTTACAAATTACAATCTTTTTTATTATTATAAATTTATTGCTTTCCTTGTCCATCTTTAACCTTAAAGTGTATAATTTTATCAATCTTTTTATATTTCTATAAATAAGGAGAGAAAGTATGCAGTTCTTCAAGGATAAAGGAGTGGTTGGACTTTAAAAATCTTTTGATCAAGTAGAGACATTCACCTCCTGTTCGACCGTGACCCGTTTCATAAGACCTTGTTTACTTTACGACCGATTCGTGGTTTTAGAATAGGGAAATTCTGAACAAATTCTTTAAGAAATGAGTCAAGTTTTTCACATAAGATTTAGATATCGAAAATATTCTTATACAAAACATACTTTTAGTAATTTCTCTACTTGCTACTTTCTCGGCTCTTATTTACAGAGGAAAAGTATGGCGATCGCTCAAAAATGACCCTCAAAGACTTACATTTTTGGACCCAGGGGACCTCGAAACGTCGAAAAATGTAAAAAGTTCGGGAGTAATTTCTGTATGTATGTAAAATTCTGATAGTGTGTGGGGGGAGCACGATTTTGTTCACCTACTTTGAAGCTTAATAACTCCTGTATTTTTAGTGGAAAATTTCTGAAAATTTTCAGAGAGGTTTATTTATTAGGGGGATTGATGGTATTAAATTTTGGTGAGTAAAGGTCGAGAGAATGGGGAATTAAAGGGATCATGTATACCTCCAGAAGGGTCTGACATAATGACGATTTTACTCGTTATTACCATTTACATTATATATATATAGGCCTATATGTAAAACTCATCTCTACCCTTAAAATTAAGCTTTTTGCCATTTTATAATTGTTAAAAATGTAAAAAGTTTTAAAATAAAATATCATAACAGATAGCGTCACACGCGGTTTTAAATGTTGCCGGGAAAGTTAAACAACTCGTTGCTGGATTTTTTTCTATTATAGATTTATTCTTATATAAAATATTTTATATTTTTGTAATAAATAAAATTTTTATTTATCAGTTATATTGAAGCTCTGTTTCGAAACAAAATATTATTCTTATTTATTTTTGTGTTATATTCTTGTTTTATTTTATTTATTTATAAAAATTTAAGATAATAAGCACGTGCTTTTGTTCTCTGTTCTCTGTCATGTTTAAAAATTGATGATTTACTTTCGTGCGAATGTATTAATATATAGATGCCAGTCACGTTCTGCTTTCAGTCACATTATGATACAAGTTATTAAATTATTTGAATATTTTTATATGGCAAATAATTATGCTTCACTTTAACACGATTAAAGAACTGAGCAAATTTTCCATTAAAATAGTACTTTTTCTACTAATAGTTTCTGTGTTTAGTTTAAAAAATTACAGTTAACATAATAGGATTTTGAGAAAATCTTATAATGCTGAATTAATGTTTCCATTCTTTATGGTAAATCCCCGTAGTTAATTCACTAACCGTTACGCAAAAATAAAAAATTATGAAGAAATCACGTATTTTATTTCGTTGGGAAATCCCCACGCTAGCTTCTATGCTATTGAACTTGTGCTTGTTTGAATCTATTAATAATTGACTCCAAACCGTTCAATTCGTAATTTTAAAGATTTTTATAAGGTTATTTTAGGTTTTATTTGATTAAAATTTTCTGAGAATATATCACTAAAAATTTTGTTGTAAATCACTAATTTCTTTGTTGTAAATTAAATCCCATAAATTACACCTAAGTAAAAGTATTGTAAATAAAAAAAAAAAACACCATTCAAAAGAAACACCGTTTCTCTGATATTATCTTAAAAGCTGTCATACGTGACAAAAAATTTAAAATAATCCGACAATAAAAAAATTAACACAAAAATTAAAATCGTTGTTCTGTTGCAGTTCTAATTTTTATGTTAATTTTTCTGTTATGCTGAGGAAAGTTCACCAATTTCTCTACAAATATGATAGCACATCTCAGACCTAAAATAATAGCGAAAATGAAAAAAGAATTTAGTGTTTAAAATGACGATAGCAATAAATAAGTTGAGTCTTATAGAA